GGGTGGGGGGGGGGGGGGGGGCAGGGGACTGCAGGTCATGAGGGACACCATCATCAGTAGGGGGCGGGTTGTGGGTTGGGGAGGGAGGGACACTAGCAGGGCCAAGGGGCTGTGAGTTGGGAGTGAAGGGGCACCAGTGGGGCTGGGTGGATGGGTGGGCTGTGAGTGGGGAATGAGGGGCACTAGTAGGGCCAGAATCCTGTGGGTCAGATGTGAGGGGCACCAACAGAGCTAGGGGTGGTGAGGGGGGCTGTGGATTTGGAGTAAGGGGCATTGGAAGGGCCAGGGAGCTGTGGGTCAGGAGTGAGGGGCACCAGCAGGGCTGTAGGGCTGTGGCTTGGGAGTGAGGGACAAGGGAATGGGCAGGGTACTGGCATATCAGGGCTGCTCACAAAGCAGTGGTGGGGGCAGGGAGAAGGGCAGCCACAGCTGGGCCCATGTCCTGATGAGTGAAGAGGGTAGGGGGAGTTCTGATTTTCCATGATAAAAAACCCAAAATCAAATGCCAAAATGTATAGGTATTTAGAATTTATTTTATTATAATGACTGAGGCATAGGTAGGCTTCCACATTGCTTTAAAATTGTAAATGTATCAATAAAACATTGTGTTCAACTGATACCTATATAGTGGTGTTTCATTTTAAGAATGGAAAAATGTGGATTTTAGGGTTTTCAATCAGAATTGGGACTTTCTACCAGAGAACTGGGGATTTATGAACAGAGAAAACTAGGATTCCTGCTCATTATACTACTGGCTGCTCACTGTTCCTCGTCTCCAACAGTGACAGAAATGCAGAGTGCAGTGAAGGTGTTTGGCTGGCAAGTAGTGGGAGGGTGCGGGTGGAGAGGGAGGAGGAATTTTGGCATTAACCTAACCAGCAGTTAGCCAAGGAAACCAGTGATTCAGGAAGAAGGCTGGGGATTTAGAGAGCAGACTAAAACATAGGGACTCTAGCCTAGTCTAGCTCTGAAGGTTAGCTTAACCTACCTCTTCATCCTGACATCAGTTCCTCCCCTCCACAAATGCAGCAATATCTTTCTTTTTTTCTGTTCATCGCATCTTTTACTATTTCCATGCTTCCAAATTTATCAGTTATTTCCCCTTGAACACCAAATCTATTGCCCCTTTGCAGAATCCCTTTAAAAGTACACCAGAAACCTCAGCCACTCTTCCCTTACACTTGTTGCATCTACTTTGCCTACCCTAATCCTCATGCATCACCATTAAGTCAGTGCCTCATCTCCCTTTGGCTCCTCCACCTGGGCAAGATACAAATTCTGAGCCTCAGTTCTCTAGGCTCTAACATGGGGGGAATTCTGTTCACCTCCTTCCCTCACAAGGCCAATACAGATGTTAATTATGTCTTGTAATGCAAACTAAGGATGAAAACTACAATATGGAGGCCATATGCTGAGTATCAACCATAGAATTCATGGGTTACATACCTTGCCATATTTTTGTGCGTAGGATCCTGTAAGCAGCGAATGAAATACAATAATAGTTTCGTCCAAATCCCAAACAAATACACGCTGAAAAAAGAATGATGACAAAATTAGCATGTAAATTAGATCAGAAAAATCTGTAATAATCAAAAATCAAATCACTCACAACCTGTGCTTTTAATAGGCACTTAATAAATAGGTCTATTTTGAAAATCAGCATTAGTGGTATATTTTATATTAACCTATAAAAACAAGGATAACATTAAAATTTTAATTACTATATACATTTTTTTTTTACTTGGGAAGATTTCAAATATGTAATATAGTCCAGATGTCAGTATACTCTGGGTCAATAACCTTTCTGTATTATTGCTTTAAGGTCCAGATTCTACTCTCAGATACTTATCAGAAACTCTCATTGGTTTCAGGTACTTTATGTTCATTCAGCAAAGCTAATATTAACCCTTAGTACTAGTGCTATATATGCTGCAGTGGTTCATAGAGAATGGAGAATTTCAATAATATTTTAGGGTAATATATATTATTTTAACTTTTAAATTTTAAAGGAGTATTGGTAAGAAGGTATAGGTTGTACCACTCCATCCAGAAAGAGCACAGACCATCTGTAGATGCTTCCTCAGACTGACAAAGGGCATTTGTGCCTGAAAGCTTGCCTAGAAAAATTTTTTCCAACTGTTTGAGTTGGTCTAATAAAAGATATCAGATTTACCCAAAGAACATTGTATGCCTTGGTAAGAAGGTATTACTTTCATTTTCATTGTTAAGTATTAGGAAAAAAAGGGAAAAAGAAAATTTGAAATCTTCCCATTACTGTTAAAAGGAACAATCTCTCAAGGGCTGGGGACAGACATTCAAAAAGCCTGAGCCTGAATTGATTCAATCTTTGCAGGTTAGTCTAACCTGCAAAGCTTGAACTGATTTGGAGCAGATGTGGCTGGTGAGCTCAGGCTGGTAGGGTGGGTGGAGCAGCACACAGGAGCGGGGCATTGCAGCTGGTCAGGAATGGGGTGGGGTTTGCAGCCTCTCCACTCCTGACCAGAATGCCTGGTTGGCTGCAACCCACACCCCCCCTTGCCAGCTGCCTGCAAACTCCACTCTGCTCCTGGCCAGCTGCAAACCCCCACCCCACTTCTGTGTCTGAGTTTACCAGCCATGCCTGATTTGGAGGTGGATAAACATTCCCTTTTCATTTGCGAAATGCAGGAACATGTCTGTAGTGGCTCAGGCTAGGGTGCTAGAGCAGCCCACCCTCCCTTACATAGTGCTGAGCTGAGGGGGGGGGGCATGGCCAGGCCCTGGCAGAATGCTCTGATTAGGGAGGGGTTTCCCCCATTGATAACAGAGCATTTATCAGCTCTGTTATTAACATTAGCAACCCATCAGAAAACAAAGCCACTCTCATTAGTTCAAGCTCTTAAACAGCTTTTTCCAAGGAAGGAACATTACTAGCTAGCTGTTGATTAGCTCCAAAAAGCCCTAAGTGGACACTGTCCTATGTGCCTTACACAGACACCTCCCAGCATTAGGTAGCATACCACGTACTGGCTACAGTTCGTGCTGTGGCTGAGAGGGAGTGGGGAATCCCTGCTTGACCAGCCAACAGTGAGGGGGGGACGGGCAGGGGAATCCAGGCAGATGCCGCTGTGCCTGCAACTCTCTGCCAGAGCTCCAGGCAGGGAGCAAAGGGGAGGGCCAGCCCAGAAAGCATGCCAGAATGCTGGGAGACTCTAGTTTAACTTAAACCAGGAAGGGGTCTGGGACAGACATTGCATAAACTGGTTTGACTCAAGTCAAACCAGTTAAGTCTGATTCTACATTCAACCAGGTTTATCTCAAACTGGTTTCATCCATTTTCAAATTGGTTTATGTGCACTGAATGTCTATTCTGTTACAGGTTTAAACCAGTTTCTGATCACTTAAACTGGTTTATGTTTAATGTCTGTATAAAAAATGAAGTCCTTTCAAAACTATTTATACATACATACATACATACATATATACACACACATATATATACCTATACATATACATGAAAAAAAGAAACCTTTCCTCGATCTCATCTCTCCAGGAGAGATGGCACATACAGTTAACTGACAGAAGAGCTTGCTCTTGGTGATATGTAGAGATATTCACTGAATGTGTAGAAGAGATGGAACAGTGCTATGATGTACCAGAATCACAATGGCAGGAAGAAGTACAGCACATGTGGAGACCATTCCTCTGCTGCCAGGGCTGGCATGTCGCCTACATGCATGGAGCAAGCCTTCTTTCTCTCCTTCCATATAAGGCTAGAGCACTTCTAACAAGCCTATACTCACTCCATTGCTAGGAGGTCACTTGTGCTCTCATACATTAGGCAGATATCTTTCCACATTAAGGGCCAAATTTTACAAATACCTGTGAACCAAACTATACGGATGCATATAATCTTGCTAAAATCAATGACAGTGCTCATACAAGCAAAGATAAGCTGGTGCTTATGTGTTTGGTAAATCAGGACTAAATATAGTCTTGTATCATAACTGCATCTTTTTTGTAAAGGGAATAATGTGGTTAAAGAGAATGTAATTATATGGGCCCAAACACTTGAACAATAAAGGCTTTCTTCAAGAAAAGAAATTCCAACTATAAAGTTTAAAAAAAATATAAGCCAATCTTTGTGGCTCTCTTCTGAATTCAACTGAAAGGGGTATATTTTTAGAACTAAACAAGCAAGGATACATCATCTTACATGGCCTGCTTTCAACATAGGCAGGTACAACAGATTAATGCATACATTTAAAAGAGCTGCTAGAAATTGTTTTTATTCAATTAATGGGAAATAGAGTCCATGGCAGTTTTTGAAAGCCTTAAATAGCTTCCACATCCATAATTTGCAGAAATTACTTTACATCATAAGAAACCTTCATATTACCATTCATCAGTTACCAGAGGGCATTACCTCCAAGTCACTGTCTGGAGGGGGTGATGGATTATTCTTCCGCCCTCTACCCCGGGACTTTGACCCAGAACTCCTACACGTTCTCTCGTCAAGATCTTTGATGGGTGTTGAGGGGCTCTGTACTGTGTCAAACTCCCCTGTAAATACAATTGTTAACAGAAAAATCAGCTTAATTTTTAAATAAGGTAAAAGCTTTTAAAAAATCTGTCAACATTTGCTAGTTTAAGCAGAAGGTACATGCAAATCTTGTATAAACACATAATGCAGAAGAGTAGTTTCCAGTTTCAATCTTACACAGCTAGAAATTTCAGATACTACCACCACATTTTGACTTGACCAAAGAAAAATTTTATTTCCCTTGACTGAAGGGGAAAGTAGGTTTAAATGCACTTCTACAAACTTATATTATATAGATATGTACACACAATACTGAGACACCAGAAAAAAGGATTTCTAGGATGTTATACTACTGGGCACATCATACTTTAAGGTAATGTGAGAATATTTCATTTTCTATGTTGGGAGTCAGTTAGATAGATGTTGAAGCCCATGCTATTATACAGGTTCAATTTCAGTAGCTTTACTCATCAGCAGGAGATTTGTCAGTTTTCCCCAAACAGAGGAGAACATCCCTTAAATACTTATCTGAGAATGAGAGCCCAGATATCAGATCAGCTTTCTAATTTACTCTGGTTTACCGAGGGAATCTACCTATCTTGGGCAAGAGGTGAAGGTATAGTAAGAACTATCATCAGGGTAATGCAGTGTGGAAAGAACAGAAACTACCTAGGGAGGACTGTTTGAAACTTGCTCTTAAAGGCTATGTCTGTCACATCTCCCGGTGACCAGAAATCCTTTTTCCTTCCCAGTACAGTACCTTGGTACACCTCCAAAAATTTCTGGGATTGAGTAATTTAGCCAGGTCCCTAAACATAAAATGAGAAATATCTTCCCTTTTGGCTATCTAAACAATGATTTCATGTCCATGTTTTAGAGTGAACATGGGTACAGCTTCACTAGACATCTACTAATGTGTCTGGCTAATTAATCTAGAGTGTCTTTTCATAGCATTTAATTTGTGGGGCTTTCTTTTAAACTGTACTAGGAATGATTGTTTATGAGATGCTGGAACTCATGCATAAGTAATATGTAGGTATAAGCATGTTCCTAATTGCCATATGTAGGTAGTGAAATCTGTGGTCAGATTCTTTTGGTAAGGAACAAGTTTCTGAGTTGGAATCATACTGGTGATTATTTCATTATTATTACTGAGTGCCCAAAAGTACCAGTCAGGCAAAAAAAAAAAGAAAAAAAGAAAGAAAAAAAAAAGACAAAGGCATCATTCTCATTCAAATATCTGGGTTTTCTTTTTTCACCTTTCTGAAAACTTTGGGGGTAACACAAAGCATTTTCACTTTGGACTGACTGAAAATCAAAGACAACTGACTTTGCAAAGCCTGGGTCAAGGGCATGTCAGTTTGGGTGGCATCAGTTTATTATTATAGCATTTGGGAGATATTTTTATGGTCCAAATGAATGGTTTTTATGCACAAGAACAAAACACAAAGCTGCCCAAAAAGTTTCTGATCAAACCAAATAGTTCACTATTAGAGAACTTGCAAGTTCGACTGACATCATTTCTTTTTCCCGTTTTGTCTTTTTTTTAAGAATATTTTATTAGGGTCACAAGTGAATAATATAAGTCACTGTGAATAAAATAACTTTGGATAAATTGTGTGCCAAAAGAAAGAATAGGTCACATGGGTCAAACTAAGAACATTTAAAAGTTTATATGCAAAAAGAACAGTATATATGATCCAAAATATAGAAATCCAAGGTATATTAAGTTTAATCTATAGAACAACATACAGAGGTCATACACGCTACTTGACCTCTGACCCTACTGCTGTCCATATGCCAGCCAAAATATGAAGGAAATAATAGGGCATGTGTAAACCTGTGTTCCAGGGCACCATATCTCACTCCTTTGCCCTGTATGTCTAAAAAGTCTCTGGCTGATGACATAGTACTGCAGAGAGCCCTAATTTACAAATTGAAATATTAGCACAGTCCAGTTCAATTCATTCTCCACATGCAATCAAGGAAGAAAAAAAATAATTTACCAAACTCTGTATGAATGTCTAAAATATTAGCAAAATTCATTTTATTTGAATAACCTCCTTTCCCCTCCATATACTGTCAATATTGGTATTTTAGTAGCCAAGGTGGTTGCAGTACATACTTCTATGTATCTGTTTTATGTCTCTCATTACCACAAGACCTAAATACTTAATAATTTTATAGTATTCTTCCTTACAGCTCTGCTATGAAGTAGGTCAGTAATAATACACCCATTTTATACATGGGGTACTGAGAACCAGAGAGATTAAGGCCTAAATCCAATTTTAATCTCACGAGTGCCCAAATGGCACTCTCTTTGAGACCCTGAATCTCTTTTAAGGCAAAAGAGGGCATTATCATCTCCTTTCCCTATAACTAAGTCATGGTTAAGATGAAGACATGTTAAAAAGTGACCCACTGACACTTCTTCAGACTTGAGAAGGGTGGAATTAGGAGTGAGTTTAGGTACCTTAGGATTTGGGCCTGAGCAACCTTGCCCGAAGTCAAATTCAGAGAATTTGTGACACAGCAAAGAACAGAACCTAAATATCCTAAAATCCCAGCCTTGCATATTAACCACTGGACCCAACCACCTGAGTAACTGTGTTGAACTATGTATATACAAATGATTCAATCATATCCTCTCCCCCATGGATTTTTAACAATACTGGACTCACTAGAAGTGATGAGTTGTGATAGCAACTCTGGCCTTAAAAAAACACTATTGTCAAGACATGGAAAATATATGACAAGTAAGGCCCAGATCTAGAATGGTAAATTAGGGTCCAGATTCTGTTCTACCTATTATCCTGTTGCTTTGAGTCATCTTCTTGGGGTCAAGCACCTAACTTTTAAGTGTTGTAAGAAAGAAGTGAAGGTGATTAAGGGATTTAGGGATTTTGCCCTCAAATTTAAAACTGAAAGATAGTGAGCTGAGCTACTCTGCCAAATGAGGCAAAATACAAAGTAATGACAATTTCAGTACTTATAAGAGAGTACGGAACCAAAAATCTTAGAAACAAAGAAAGGAAATATTAGAAAACAAAGGAGAAAAATAGATACTGAAGGAGGTGGGTGATGCTTAGTACCTATGGAGACTTATCTCCCCAAAACTAAAATAAACCATATCCCATCCATGACTAGTTGTATAGTAAATTATTTGAGAGGAAGCCCCTGAACAACGAAAGCAGTAAAACAGAGGGAGAAAATACACATCCTTCTGCTTCAGGGGTGCTTCCAGGCATATCAAAATCCAACAGCCTTTAGTGGGAAGAGCTGTTTGGGTTTTTTTTAAAATGATGTCCCTATTAAGCTATTGCTAGCCCTGAATCTCAGTTCCTTTGGAAAGCAGGGATCATGGGGAAAATGAGCGTAACTACCTTTTAAGCTTGTCAGATAAAAAATCTTTGTCTCATTTACAAGTTTCACAGCCCATCCACTGAAGAACCTGGGTATGTAAATTTAACCAAAAAATGTTTATTGGAAGCTCAATCTGAAGAATGCATATAGCTTATACATTCTGTGCCATTCAGTGATAGACTATGTAGAAGGAGGAAGCTGGTGGTAGTAGAGACACACTAAACATAGTTTAGGTTTTTTAGCTGTGAATGTTTGTACTTAAGCTCTTTTTGTAATGTTAGCTTTATTTTAGAATTTTCCTTCTCTCAGTTTTCATGGACTAGTTTACAAGGTTATTGTTATTATAATCTCTTATGACAGACAACAAGATTTGTGCTGAAAAAGGCACAAATATAGCCCCTGCAGGGAACGGTTTATAATCTAATGCTCTAATTTGGGGACACATTCCTATCCAGAAAAAGCATACATAAAGTACCTAGCTTTAGGCATGTATTTAAGTGCTCCTAAAGTCAATGGGATGCAAATGTGCTATATTTGCTAAATTGGGCTGGATGTATATTAGCATTCAGAAACATTTCTTGACTCAAGGCCAGTAAGAGAGACAAAGATAAAATGCATTTGGATACCCACAAGAAGTTAACTTTGTATTATTTGTATACCCCCAGCAAAGATAAACTTGCACCCTTGTACTCTTTTGCTTGTCCTTAAATAAATGTATGCATCTTAACTTTCTGGATCTGTCAGTAATACTAGATTTTTGACTAAATAATAAATACCATTTTTAGTGAATTTACAAATATTTAGTAAAAATTACATTTTAATGGTCACTAAGTAAATAATTTAGTTAATTATTCCTCTTAGTGTACCACGTACCAAAGCCAGTTAAGCTAAGTAAACTGCAGCAGCAAACTTTGATGGAAAAAATACTGTTGTGTCATGTAAGAGACTAAAAAAGAACTATAAATCATCTTTTAAGTTATGAAACTACTTAAAATTCTATACAGGATAATGCCACATTTCAGCTCTAAAGCCTTTGACACTCATTTCCAATTATTCCCTCTATATTGAAGGTTTAAGAAACCTTCAATATAGAGGAAATAATTAGCAAACTCCTTCTATATTCAAGGCATAAGTTTGCAAAATATACATGTATCTATTTATCAGTCTGTAATAATTTACTGCAGTGGTGATCTGACTCACACACCCAGTTTTGTACAAAGCATAACTATATCAATATATGCCTTTGTCCATGTAAGGTGGAAAGAACATTACATCAAAATCTAGCCTTTTTGCTTTAATACTACCCTGGCAAAATATCAGCCAAATTCTACAAGTGTTTTGTAAATTTTGGTTCTTACCTGCAAAATCAATATAAAACAATCATAAATATTGAAATATAATGGCTATAACTTTAGAAAGCCCTAAAAGATAAGTTATTTTCAACCTCTTTCTTTAAAGTATAATTTGGTAATTCATGTCTTTGTATTTAGCTTCTTGTTTTATTATACATGTATATATTTCCCTTAGCTATGAGCTTGTTGTAAGTGAAAAAAAAATACTATTTCTATGGAATGGAAACCAATTAATTTTAATAGAAAGTAAATGGTTTATCTGGCAATTAGTTTAACTACTCAAACTATTTAATACAGAAATACAG